GTTTTCGGACCTCGGCTCCTCCGTCGGTCGTTGTCCCTCCGCCGTGGTGTCGTCACCTGGCCGTCGATTCGCTCGTTTGTCGGGCTCTCGTTCGGCCCCCATCCGTCGCCGTGCCATGTACTCGAACCCGCGCACAAAGACAAGCAATCCTCGGCATCAGCATGTTCGTCCTGCTCATACTCCTGCCCCCTTCTCATCGTCCTCCCCCTCCTCGTCCTTCTCTCCGTCCTCCCCCTCCTCGTCTTCCCCCTCCTCCCCCTGGTCCGCCGCGTTCAACCGTAAGGGATATGGACCGCGACAACCACAGTACCTACCCAGCGGGCGGGGCACCTGGACGTGTTAGCGATGAGTTGGCCTTCAGGCCGGAGCTGGTCGCCAACAGGGCGCACCACATGGTGCTGGAGTTGGCTGGGTGGCCGCCTGTAGGGCTGAGGGCATGACGATTCGCAACGCCACGATCCACATGAACGTCGGTTTGACCATGGCGGGGCAGGTGTCCCCGTGTCTGATCGGCGGCGACTGGAACATGAGCGCGCAGGAGGTTGAAGCGCCCACTTTCCCCGTGAACGTTCAGCTTCGTTGAGTATCACCAGGTCAGGCCACATGCGATCGGCAACGCGGCCGTCTACCATGTCCTTTGCGTTGAGCACTGGAGCGATGCGACTACTCCAGACATGTCATGTGGAGAAAGTTTGGACTAAGAAGCCATGTTGCGCTGCTCGGTGTAGCCTCGCGGAAGGCCACCAGATGCAGTATTTACGCATTTTGCACGGTAAAAGGTCGCCGCCGCCCGAACTGTGGGCCCGACGCCACCACAGGAAAGCTCGGATGTTGAGCGTCAGTTCGCAGGTGTGGCGGTCCGACTTGTCCACGAATCCAGCGCACGCGCAGCTTGGACATCCTTTTTCAAAGGCACGGAGGTTCTGGGCCATCAATGCGGCGACACGACTGGGGCATGTGACGGGGACTCAGATCAAGTCAGTGGCCCATTATGCCCGAAGCATGGTGCCGAAGTGGATTGAACGAGTGCTTTCACGACGGAGGGATGAGCAGGGCCTCCAGGTAATGGATGAGGAGGGCCTCCAGGAAGGACGAACACTGCATTTTAGCAGGTTCCTAGAGGCCCGTTCGGGAGCAAGATTACATCGGGGGATTCCATCGCGCGATGCGCGGGCCAGAATTCCAGCCACCGCGCGGCCGCGCCCGACCGCGATTGCAGCGACAGCGCGCGTGCAGGCGGCGATGGTCGGTTCCAGCGCTCGACCTCCTCACCGCAGCCCTTGGGCCCCCGCGACGGTGGAGGGCCAGAGCGGCGGCGGGCTAAGTGGTCGCCCGCGCCAGATCGCCAAGAATATGGAGACGAAGCAAAGCAAGCTTTGGCGAGCAATCAAAAAGGCACCCATGGTCATGGAACCTGACGGGCTCTCGCTGGAGAGCCCGCCCCCCGCCGCAATCAGTCGCGCGTCGTTCTCTGATTTCACCCGCGCGCCCAGCTGCTCTGATGGGTTGCGCCCGTCGTGCCGGCAGCGGCGGGCGCGATCGGGCGCTGTTATAATGGCCATGCGGCATTGACCAGGCCTGCGAACGCATTATTCCTTTCCACTGCCAGCCCACGCGGATGGCCACGCCGATGCTGCCGACGGCGGCTGGCGGCCGCGGACCGATTATCCTGCGCCCGTCGGCCAGCGGGGCGCGGCAGCGCATGCAGGGGGCTGAGCCGGTCGGCGCTCGCGCGGCCCGGGGCCGGCCCGGTCGGGGGGCCGCGGCAGGGGGGGGCGCAGCGGGCGGCGCGCGGGCCCAGGCGGCAGGCAAAAGGCCGGAAGTGAGCCCGCGGCGGCGCGCCACCACCATCATGGCGGACTACAGCAAGCATCGCGAGACCATCTCCTCGTTCAGGTCCAAGATTAACTGCGTCGGATTGGTGCCCCACTGGAGCCGGAGAACATCGCGCGCTGCCAACGGAAAAGGCCCACCGGGCAATGCGGATCCGTCTTCGCCGGCGGAATCGCCCGCGGCGCGCTGTAGACGGCCCCGCCAGCTGGAGGCGCCCGCGCGGGCGCGAGCGGCAGTTCGAGAGGCGCCGCGATCGAGCACTTGGGGCAGCAGCCGGCTTCCATCAGGTCGCCAAGGGTTCGGGGCCAGCGCGGGCGACGAGCTCGCAATTACCATCAGCTCGACGGACGTCGGGGGCGCCGTCGCCAAGCATCTCCAGCTCGACCCCGCCATCGGCAAGGGGGCGACCAACTGCCCGGGCGCGGCAATTGCAAGCGGCAGGGCGCGGCGAGCTCGAGGCGCTCGAGAGAAATATCGCAGCGCATAGTGGCAATGACTACCCCCATCAAGTTGCGCATGCCCAAAAACACCGACGCTCGCCCCCCGCCTTGGAGGCGCAGCGTATCGGGTGGATCTACCAGGCCAGCGCCGGGCCTGCTTGCACGCGCGACGCAAATGGCAACGGAGTGGACGACGTCGAGCTTGTCGCGCCCAGGCGCGACTATGGGCGGCGCCAGAAGCCGCGCCGCGGGGCGCGGGGGAATACCGGCCAGCGCCAAGCTAGTCTTGCATGGCGACCCCGCGGCGCCTTTCGCCATCGAGCGGCACTTTCAGTCACCGGCTAACGCAGGTCATGGTAATGAATGGGCGCGCGTTCTGACAACAGACGATTGAAACAACAAATCGATGATCCACGAAAGCGAGAAACGGGTTGATCAAATTGCGCCGCCCCATCCAAACAAAACAAACATCATTTAGTAAACGCAGATGTCGGTGTCCTAAATTCAAGAACGAATCTTCCAAATCTAAATCCGGGGGCGTTTTTCAACATCCAAGATCTTATCATTAACATGACCTGAGTGGCTCGATCATTCAGCTCAGCGAACGGGCTGGCCAGTCCGAGCAGGGCCTCTGCGGATCAACCATCGCAGCGACGAGGTCACCGTGGCGCCCAGGCTTTCCGATATGTCGCCGCGCCAGGGGATCGCCTGCGGCGCGAGACAGCGCGACCTTCGACTTGTTGAAAAGATTGGTTTGGTTCAAGGCGACGGAGTTCACGGGCCACCAGATGCATCGAGAGTTGCGCTTGCGAGCGGGAAGCGGGCGAACGGGGGCGCCCCGCCGATGGCCAGCGCGCACGCGGGGCCCCTGACACCCCCGCGCAACGCATGGCGGACTGCAGCAGGCCCGACGCGGTCGGGGCGCACGCGGGGGCAGGCGTCTCGGCCACCATTCTCCAGGGTCTGAGCGATGATTTCGGCGATCGGCCACTGGCGCAAGGCGCCTCCGCATGCCCCGAATTCGAGCTGCTTGCGGCGTAGGTCGACTTCAGCGCGCGACCATGGCCAGCGATGGTCAAGGCGCCGGGCGCAGCCCAGAAGAGATGGTCGCAGGGGCGATGCAGAGCGAAGACGCCGCGACGAAGGTTGCTATCGACGGCTTTTGAACCAGGCCGGCCACGCGTGAGCTCCAACGGCCAGAATGGTCGCTGGCGCCATTGGATAACAGGTCTGACAAGCCGTTGAGAGCGACGATGCCCCTGCCCCCACGCCCCCACCACAGTCTTCAGCGATGGTCGAGTAGTTGCCCATTGCATATGTTGCCCAAGTTGTGGATTGGCCACGCTCGGCGCTCGCTGACTTCACGGGCGCGGAGCGGATGGCCAGCGAGGGGAAGGAGGGGCGCGCCGCCTCCAAGTCGCCCGGCGCCTGCGTCGCGCCCTTCGCGCAAAGCTGCCCCAGCTTGCATCGGATCGACAACGCGCGGCGCGCCGACTCGCCGACTCGCCGACGCAGGCGCGCGAGCCGACGCGCCGGCGAGCGGGCCACGAGCGGGCCAAGACGGGGGCGGCCATGCGCGACGGGGTCAGCAAGGAGCTCGCGAGGGCAATCGGCGTTGCCAGCGCCCGCGCATTCGAGTTGGCCAAGCTCGCGGGCGCCTTCCCCCCCCCTCCTAGACAAGGAGGACACGGGGCGCTGGGCCAGGCGACGTACGACGGCAAGGCGGGTCAAGGGCGTCCGTCGGGAGGGCGTCGGCGGGGGGGCGCCGCCCCCGGCGCGCATCGCAAGGCCTCTCTCACGCCCCATGCGCCCCGCATTGACAGGGCTTTCATCGGATACTCTGATACTCCCAGTTTTCTCGCGGCGCGCTGGGCGGAGCCGCTGGGCCATCGCTCGGCGGCGGTCGACCGCCGCGGTGGATTTGCACGCAGGCGGTCTCCTCAGTCGCGGCCCGCGCGGGCCGCGGCGCGCGGGCGCAGCGACGACGGCCGGGGAAGTTGCGGGCGCGCTGCACGGCGCCCACCATCATGGGCCTCGAGGTCTTGTCCAACCTACGGAAAGGCGCTGGCCCTGGCAAGCCGCTGGGAAGATGCGCGTTGACAGCGCTGCGCCCTCTCGCCAGCCGCCGCGCGTCTGCGCGGAAGGAACGCGCCGCGGTCTCGGCGCCCGCCCCGACGGAGAGTTGCGACGACGAGTCTAGCACAGCACGCTGCCGGCAACGGCGATGGAGAAGGAACCGTCGAAGCGGAAGTTGGATCAGGATTCCATCGCCATCCTCGGCCGCGCCCAGCAGCCCGACATCGCGGGTGCCACGGTCGGTGGCAGCTCCGCTGCAGAACGCCGCCTAGCGGAGGGGAGTTGAATGCACCTTCCGAGGTAGACTTCCTAGAAGCACCCTCAGGAGTTGAAACCCCTCTCTTGCCCTCTCCCTCCTCCTCCTCCTCCTCCTCCTCCTCCTCCTCCTCCTCCTCCTCATCATCCTCCTCATCCTCCTCATCCTCCTCATCCTCCTCATCCTCCTCATCCTCCTCATCCTCCTCCCCTCCCTCCTCTCCCTCCTCTCCCTCCTATCCCTCCTCTCCCTCCTCTTCCTCCTCCTCCTCCTCCTCCTCCTCCTTCTCCTCGTCCTCCTCCAGGACCCAGACCACCCCGTGCAACAGCTCGACGCCCGGCGTTTTGTCCCCCGCGCCAGCGACCCCCCGCGCCGCCGCGCCCTCGCGCCGCCAGTGTGGACGAGCGGCACCGCGCGCTGCAGGCTGAGCTGCAGGAGTCGCACGAGATCACCCAGACGTTGCTGCAGGACCGGCGGAGGGGGCAGCGGAGAGGCCAGCATCCTAAACTCGGGGGCGGAAAAGAGGGGGGTCATGACTAGGGGGGGGGATATCATGACGGGGGCCGTGGTATTTCCCCAGATTTCATGGCGACTCTTCTTGTTTCATTACGTTCCTGGCCCCCCCGCTGGGCCGCACACGTGCCGCCGGTCATGATTTGCACCCCCCCCTCTTGGACACCCCCCTCTTGGCCGCTCCCAATAAACATGATTGCCCCTCCTGCTCCCTAGTATCCCTTGCCATCCCTCTGCCGTTGGGAAAAAACGCGACGGGGGGTGTCGCTCGTTTTCGGTCTCTGGGAGCCCTCGCCGGGCCCTGGGACCGTCAACAAAACGATTCGGGATGAAAAGTCTCTGTCCGTCAGAAGGGGTCAAGAGCTCTGGGGAGCCACGTTTTCCCTCCTGCTCCCGCATTCAGAGGAGGGGACGGTGCTGATAACGCTACCCGCTCCTCGTTTTCGGTCGCCCCTGGGGCCTCCTGGGAAGCCTTGGGCGCCACGGCTGGATTCGCCTCGAAATCCTAGTCAGAATGCACCCCGGCAGAGTATCGGTACTTGCATGTCCACCCGTAAGCATGATGGTGTTGTTGATGTTGATGTTGTTGGTGTTGTTGTTGCTGTTGTTGTTGTTATTGGTGTTGTTGGTGCTGTTGTTGTTGGTAGTGGTGTTGTTGCTGTTGTTGGTTTTGTTGGTGTTGGTGTTGTTGCTGTTGTTGTTGGTGTTGCTGTTGTTGATGTTGCTGATGTTGTTGTTGTTGGTGATGTTGTTGGCGGTGGTGGTGGTGATGTTGTTGTTGTTGTTGTTGTTGTTGTTGTTGTTGTTGTTGTAGTTGTTTTTGTTGTTGTTGTTATTGTTGTTGTGGCTCATCCTTTTCCTGTGCCTCCCTCCTCCTGCTCCTCCTCTTCCTCCTGCTCCTCTTCCATTCGCTTCCCTTGTAAATAACTTCTCCCTGTCTCACCCCGAGGCCAGTTGTTTGGGCGGGCCAAGCGTTTCACCAGAGACTCCCTCACCATGTATGACCATGAAGCTTAGATATTGGCAATCGTTTCACAGATGTAGTGCCGCGCATATACGTTTTAAACATTCGCCAGAGTTCCTCATATTGAGGGCGGTTCCTTTTCAAAATGTGGCTCTCGCCTCAGCGCCGCGAACATTCGTTTTCAAAATGTGGCTCTCGCCTCAGCGCCGCGCGCATTCGTTTTAAACAGTTCGCCAGAGTTTCACGGATTGAGGGCGGGTCGTTTTCAAAATGTGTCTCTCGCTTGAGCGCCGCGCACATGCGTTTCACGGGTTGAGAGCGGGCAATTTTTCATATGTGGTTCTCGCTTCAAGCGCCTCGCAAATTCGTTTTATAGAGTTGCAAGAGTTGCAGGGATCGAGGGCGGTTCCTTTTCAGTATGCGGTTCTCGCTTTAGCGCCGCACACTCGTGTTTCAATGTTACAAGAGTTTCACATATTCCCATAATCAACGTATCAGAAGTGGTGTGTTGAACGGATTCCGGATTATTAGGGTGCAACAGTTACGTTGATTTACGGCGTTGAGGCCCGAGGTTGGTACGATTTAGGATCGTCAAGACGCAACAGTGAGGTTGATCCGTGGCGTTGAAATTTTGATAGCAATGTTTTGGCATGCTTTGGGGTCTTCAAACGGTTGTCTTCCGAAGAGGCAGTTCGCTAAGTGGAAATGAGCCGTTGTCGGGGCCTATGAAGTGGGCGCTTGGAGGGAGGGTTTATTTCAACATTGTTGCTGATTCTTGGGTTTACACTGGTCCTTCTCCTCCTCGTAAACATCATCCTGCTGATCCTGCTCCCCTCAATACCCTCCTGTTCCCTCCTCCTCCTCCTCCTCGCACGATCCGCACAAGGGTGTGCCGCAAGGGGCGGGCGTGTGGCATGCGGGCACGCCCGCGTGGGCCGAAGGTGGAGCTCCAAGCGAGCGCCGTGCCGAGGTGGGCCTGCGGACGGGGAGCAGAGGCAGGGGGGGAGCAGGCTGTGGGGAAAAAAGCACACACACACACACACACACACACTGTGTGTTTGTTTTTGTTCCCGGAGGCTGTGTTTTTTCCCCACAGCCCGCGTGTGTGTGTGTGTGTGTGTGTGTGTGTGTTTGTGTGTGTGTGTGTGTGGTGAGTGTGTGTGTGTGGTGTGTGTGTGTGCGTGCGTGCGTGTGTGTGTGTGTGTGCGTGCGTGCGTGCGTGCGTGCGTGCGTGCGTGCGTGCGTGCGTGCGTGCGTGCGTGCGTGCGTGCGTGTGTGTGAATGTGTGAATATGTGTGTGTGAATATGTGTGTGTGTGTGTGTGTGTGTGTGTGTGTGTGTGTGTGTGTGTGTGTGTGTGTGTGTGTGTGTGTGTGTGTGTGTGTGTGTGTGTGTGTGTGTGTGTGTGTTTTTTCCCCACTGTGTGTTTTTGTTGTTCCCCCCACTGTGTTTTTTTGGGGGGGCTCCCGCAGGGAGGGGAGGAGAAGGCTCGTCGTGCCCCCTGCCCGGGCCGGGCGCGGGCGCGCTGCCGCGGGAGGACCCCCACGGAGCGGCGCTGGCTGCGCGCAGCCCTGCACGGGCTCTTGGCATCGCTCGGACGTGTGCATTGTTCCTTCGGCGAGGGCCACCGAGGAGCATCCTTGACGGTCATTTCGCGAAAAAGCCGCGCGCGAAACCGAAAAAAGACACAGGACATGGACGTCCGAGCGATGGCCAGGGCTCGGACTCCGTTTTTTTTCGGGGCCTGCTTGCCGGCGGGCTGCGCCCGTGGGGATACAACTTCCGGCGGCAGCTCCTCTGCCTTCTGCGCTGCCCTGGCTCGCCACGGCTTGGCTCAAGAGCTTCTGGCCCTCTGCCCGCCTGCCCCCTTTTCTCGCCCCCCTCTCCCCAAGTGATGAGCGCGTTTTCCACCACCACCACCATAAGTTGGATGGGGCGCAGGGGGAGGAGGAGGAGGAGGAGGAGGAGGAGGAGGAGGAGGAGGAGGACCCCCCCCTCCAACTTATGGTGGTGGTGGTGGAAAACACGCTCATCACCAAGGGCTTGTCGACTTTTTTGCCACTCGACTTGTGGGGATCGGGCCAGAGAAATCCAGGCGAACGCAGCTAAATCGAAGCAGATCCAGGTGGATCCAAGCACATCGAAATACATCCGGGCAAATCCAAGGAAACTCGGAGATCTCCAGGGAAAGCTTCAGGAGGGAAAAAACACACAGACACAATTCATCGTCGGTTCCCCGGAAAATATGGGAAAATATGGGAAGTGGGGGGGAAAGACAAAAACCCAGAAAATATAGGAAAATATGGGTAGTATTTTTATGTGTGTATTCATTAGTGTGTCCTGGGGCCCCTTCAAAGTTGGAGACCTCGCGGCCGCTCCCGCGCGAGTCGAAGGGCGGCAGAAGTCGTCGAGCCCTCAGCGACCCTCGGACCCCCCGAGCCGCCCGCACAGCCATGCCCCGCGCCGCGCCCGCGCCGCGCCGCGCCCGGCGCGCGCGCCAGGGCCGCGGGGCGCTCGGGGCCGCGGCAGCCTTGGCCGGCGCGGCGGCCACCGTCACAGCTGGTGGGCCCGCTTTCCACCGCCACCACCAGCAGTGGGAAGGGGGGACGAGGAGGAGGACGAGGAGAAGGACGGAGACGAGGAGGAGGAGGAGGAGGAGGAGGAGGAGGAGGACGAGGACGAGGAGGAGGAGGACGAGGAGAAGGACGGAGACGAGGAGGAGGAGGAGGAGAAGGAGGAGGAGGACGAGGAGAAAGAAGGAGGAGGAGGAGGAGGAGGAGGAGGAGGAGGACCCCCTCCCCCATCCAATGTATGGTGGTGGTGGTGGAAAGCAGGCCCATCAACGGCGCTTCATGCCAGCCAGCGGCTCTCGCAGGCGTTCTTCGGCCCGTTCGAGGGCGCCCGCGCGGCCGCCGCCGCGTCGCTCGTGGCGGGCGGCCTCGCCGCGGGCGCGCTGCAGCCGCCGGCGATGGCCGAGAGCTCGTTCGCCAGCCTGCTGAGCGGCGCCGCCACGGAGGCGCTGCCGCAGACGGACGAGCGCCTGAAGACGCTGCAGATCGAGGAGCCAAAAATAGCAGACACGTGAATTGTCTGAGGTCCGCGCTGATTTCGTGGATCGGCGCTGGACCCCCCCTTCCCTGGCGCGCGGAGCGCGCCGGGGGCCGCGCAATGGGGCGGCGCCAGGGGGCCCCGGCGCAGACCCCAGAAAGCCGCGCGGCACTCTGAGAGTTTATGCGTCTGCAGTTCTTGGCTCCTTGAACAGAGCCAGCTGAAGAAGCCGACCCTGTCGACGCAAAAGCTCGAAGAGCTCGAGCGAGCCGAGATCTTGGACGCGCGGAAAAGCGAGGCCGAGCGGATCCAGCAGGTGTTTGCCCAGGAGCGGGCGGAGAAGAAGAAGGTGGCCGACTCCGAGAGCGCCGAGCTGAAGGCCATCGAGGGTGCGGAGAAGTCCGCGAAGGCCAGTATCGAGGAGGAGTTGAAGGTGGTTCTGCAGAAGATTGAGAAAACTGAGAAGGAGGAGATCGCGGCGGCGAAGAAAGCTTCGAAAAACGCAAAGGACCTCGCCATCGAGACCAAGAGGAAAGACTTGAAGGCAGCGAAGGGCAACGAGGAGCTGATCTTGAGGGCGGAGGAAAGGGCCGACAGCGCCATCGTGGCCGCCTCCGAGAAGGCTGAGGCGGACATCGAGAAGGCCAAGGCGAAGTCCGAGACCGCCTTCAAGGCCGCCCTGCAGAAGGCCGACGACGCGCGCAAGAAGGCGGCCGAGAACGCGGAGGTCTTGGAGAAGTCGGCCTACGCCAGGGCGGAGCTTGCCAGGGAACAGGCCGAGGAGCGGGCCGAGTTCGTAGAGCGCGAGATCGTGAAGCAGGAGGAGGAGCTCGAGCGAAAGGTCGTCTCGGCCGTGGACGCGATCGAGAAGGAGGAACTGATGGAGGAAAACGCGGCCCTCGAAACTGCGAAGGAGGTGCTGTCAGCTGCCAAAGACGTCGCCACGCCGATTGTCCTGCCAGGCATCGCGATGTTCCTCTACGCCGTGGTCGCCAGCTTCTTCAGCGGGCCGCCCGTGCCATGCAAGGGCGCGGAGACCGAGGAGGTGCGCAAGCTGATGGGGCGCAAGTCACGGATGGAGACGTCGGCGGTCAGCTCGGACTACGGGCCCGGCGACCCCTCGCCAGCATAGGCCCTCGGAGGACGCGCAACGAGGGGGCGAGAAATTGGGGAGGGGGCAGCGAGGCCTGCAGAGAAGGGTCCGATGAGGGCCCCTCAAGGGGCCCTTCAGGGCCACACAGGAGGCCTTGAGGGCCAGACAAGGGCACCTCTCTTTCCCCTTCCCCCCCCCCATTTTTTCATCGCCCCCGCCATGAATTCGCGCCCATCAGGCGGGAGGGGTGGTAGGCCGCCCCCCTCATTCGGGGAAGCGTAAGACTCCACTTCGCCGGAGCTCGGGTTTGCCGACGCTTTCTGACGAGCCCGTCCTGGGTTTTGACGGCTCAGCTTTCGTGGGATGCCTGCAGCGGGAGGTCACGTCGAGTTTCAGGCATGTCTTCGTCGTGTCCCCCGATCCCGAGTCTTACGCCTCCCCGACTCATCTCTCTCGGCGTGCGTTGGGCCGGGGAGTTCCGAGGAGCAGGGGGAGGGTCTTCCGGGACAATCTGCGGCCCTCCTCCCCCGCCGCGCAGCCCTCTTTTTAGACATCTTCCTCTTGCTCCTCGTCATCCTCCGTTTGTCTTCCGCGCTCTGTGCCGCCCAAACGGTGCGTTTGAGCATTGCTCGTCATCTATCCGATCTTCTTTTTTGTTCGAACTATTTTCGAGGCGTCGCGGTGCCTCCCTCGATCCGGGCTTTGTGGCGGTTTAAGCGCCAGCCCTTTTTATTCCTCGCCCTGGCTGCTGCACGCATTCTTGTCACACCTTGCTGGCATCAATTATGTAGTCTGCGCTGGGATGTTGCGGCAGTCGGAGCAGTTGCACCAAATGGCAGCGTGCAGAGAAGAATAAAGTAGAGGAGGAGAAGGCAGGATGAGGAAGGATGAGGACGAAGAGGAGGAGGAGGAGGCAGGGAGAGGGCGTGGATGAGAAGGAGTAAGGTTGAGAACGAGACGTGCGGCGCCTGTATCCAAAGCGAGAGCCTACCAACACAGGAGGAATGTGATCAGCACGAGCGGGTTGGGCAAAACGAGACCGTGAGGATAGACGGATAGACTCTGAAGGTTGGTATCCAGCGTGCGGAGTGTATCACCATGCGGTCCGGGTCGCGGCATCACGTCTCTTGATGGAGGGGTCGTGATTGCTTCAGGGGGTTCAGTAGCGCAGGCGCGTGGCCCTTCGACGAGACGAAGCGACACGCCGGCGCAGGCGCCAACGACTGACCCCCCCCCTCCGGGGGCCAGTTTCGGGCCCGGGGCCTCCAGGAAGCAGAACTCACGGCGCGAAGCCCATGTCAAAGTTGCGGCCGACAGCGAGGAGGAGGAGGAGCAGGAGCGGGAGGAGGAGCGGGAGGAGCGGGAGGAGGAGGAGGAGGAGGAGGAGGAGGAGGAGGAGGAGGAGGAGGGAGGAGGAGGGGGAGGGAGGAAGAGGGAGGGAGGAGGAGGAGGAGGAGGAGGAGGAGGAGGAGGAGGAGGAGGAGGAGGAGGAGGGAGGAGCGTCTTGATATCCCCATGCAGCGGAGACGGTGCGAGGCTGCACGGCTTCCGCGGTGTCGGGTATCCGGGGAGGCGTGAGGCTCGAGCGAGCCGGAGCTCGAGGTTGCCGACGTTGTCTGACGAGCGCGTCCTGGGCTTTGACGGTCCGTTGTTCGTGTGATGTTCGCTCCTCCTCGTCCTCCTCCTCCTCCTCCGCCTCCTCCTCCTCCTCCTCCTCCTCCTCCTCCTCCTCCTCCTCCCCCTCCTCGGATCCTGGCGTCGCTGCCGATCAGGCTACCGGCCTCGTCCTCGGCCGTGCCGTGGGCGCGCGCGCCGAGGAGCTGGGGAGCTCGCGTCATTTTCATGATGGCCCCGTCAGGCCAGCCCGAGTCCCCCGTACCCGAGTCTTACGTCTCCCCGAGGTATCACAGCTGACATCTTCACGGCGGGGGCATGTCGTACAACGTACACGGTATTTCATCAGGTTTGTTTTTCCATCCGTGCCTCTTCGGCACATCCTGGGCCCGTCCTGTCTGCCAGCAAGGTTTTCCTCCCCTTCCTCTCCCCCTTCCTCTACCTTCGTTTATGCTCGCGAGTTCCAGGAAGCACTGGAGCAGGATCTGCGCTGGCAGGCACACGAAGCTTCACGAAGTTCGGCTCAACGTGGATGTTATCAGTGTGGCCCGTCTTTTCGATTACGCTCGTCCTTCGTGCGACAGTCTCTTAGTCTCGTGTCACGGTACAGTCGGCCCAGATTAGTAGGTCGACTTTGCCAAATCAAGGGTACCCGTGTGTCCTGTGTCTCGCGACACGTGCCTTCTTACATTCCTATGGCGATGTGGCCCTCGGAAGGCTCTTGTGTCCTCTCGCGTGTCCTCTCCAACCAAGTCCGACTGTAGTCTCGTGTCACGGTAGCATGCGCCTCATCGTGTCGGCATATTGGCACTCGTGTGCGCTGCGCCAGCGTTGCCTTCGCTCTCATGCTCGACGGCAGCCTGCCCCCAGCCCAGACCTGTGGCCAGGAGCAGAGCAGGGCAACGGCAAGCAGTCGTTCATCGGGAGGGGAAAACACACAGGCACAATGAATCGTCGATTCCCCCAAAAAATGCGGGAAAGTATGGGAAGTGGGGGGGAAGACAAAAAACCAAGAAAATATGAAGAAGTATGGGGAATCCTGTTATTTGGGTCTAGTTATTTAATCGCTTCGCTCATTCTGCCGGCCCTGGAGCGCTATTTGGGGCCTCTTGGGGCCGTCTTGGGGGCTTCTTGGGGGCTTCTTGGGAGCGTCTTGGGGCTCCTTGGCGGCGTATTGGGCTCCCCTGGTGCCTCTTGGGGGGCTCTTGGGGGCCCCTTGGGGCGGGAGGGGGGTAGTCGATTGCGCCCCCCCCCTCGGAGGCCACGATCCTTGTGAGGGGTAGCGAAAAATAGCCCCCCCCCTGGGGATCGCCTGGGGATCAGCCGGGGATCGGCCGGGGTACTTTCCGTCCGGGGCCCTCCAGGGGCCGCCCCGCGCGCGCGAACTAGAAATATTGTTAAGTAGTTACCGGAGATCTTAGCACGCCTCCGGCCCGTTGGGCCGGCGAATTTGTGTGTCCCAGGGCCCCTTCAGTGCATGCTCTCGAGAGGTTGTGCGCGGGTGCCGCAGGTCCCGGGCCTTCGGTGCCCCGGACGGGCCTCCAGAGGTTCTCAGATGGATCCACGCGGCAGGTCTCCGCCGTCCTGTTGTCTTGCTGCGCGGTGGCGGGCGACGTCTGGGGAGGAGGGGGAAGGAGGGGGCGGAGGATGTTGGCTCCAGGGGTGGACCTAAACTGTGTTTCGGCGATGTCGTGGGCCGTCTTCGTTTCGATTTCGTTTCGAGTTACGGGCGGATTGGAGACAAAACGAGGGAAAACGAAAACACAACGAAAACGAATAACACCGTTGAGGTTCAGCCCTGGTTGGCGCCTCCGAAGTTGCCCGCACCGAGGAGATGGACACGCAGCGAGCGGACGCCGACGCCTCCATCATGCAGCTGGAGGACCGCGCCGCCCGCCATCGGGGAGGCAAGAGGGGGAGGAGTAGAAAGCAGGAGGACGAGGACGAGGGTGATGATGAGGAGGTGGATGATGACAGACCAACAAGAAGTATGGACGCTCCGCGTGCCCTCGGCAGACCATCCAGAAACGATGGCGAGGGGAGTTGTTTGGAGGAGGGGCGTTGGTAAGCACGTAGTGAAGAAGTAAGGAGAAGCAACGGTGACATTAGACCTCGGCGAGCCTCTTGGAGCCATCTTGATGCCGTTCTGGAAGCCGTCTAGGCTTTTTTGGGCCCATCTTGGGGGACTTGGGAGTATTATTTGGGCCATCTTGGAGGCCAACGATCAAAGAAGCGGGGGTTCTTAATTGCGCCACTTCCCGTCTGAGCCCTCAAAACGCCTCTGGAGGCTCTCTTGGAGCGCTTTGGGGGCCCTCGTGGGGCTCTCCTAGGCCATCTTGAGAGCTTGCCAGAGTCAAAATAGCGAGAAGGCCACACACATTGATATCCCATAGGTTTGGTAATGATTTGGAGCTCTCGGGGGTGTCTTCGGGAGGCTCCGAGGCCACTTGGAGCCGTCTTAAGGCGTTATGGGGGCCTTTTGGAGGCGCGCTGGAGGCTGTACTGAGCCTTCCTGAACCCATTCAAATGTGAATTGAAGTTCACCGATTCTGCTGTGAATTCTTCTGGGAATTCCCGCACGTGACGTTGTACACCCACGTGCTGCGGAGTGCACTGCCCATTGAACAACTATGATGTTGAACTTTGACCAGTGTTTGTTCTATGGTTTGCATGCTGCCCGCAGTCCTTGCCCAGAGTAGCAGTGGCCCAACAGTTGGCACTGCGACCTGGCATCGTTGCGTGTACACCTCGTGCCCGTAGCTGCTCTGGCACCTGAGCCCGGCAGAGAGATCGCCTCATGCAGTCAAGACTCAGGAGAGGAAAAAACACAGACACAATTAATCTTCGATTCCCCAGAAAATATTGGAAAATATGGGAAGTTGGGGGGAAGACAGAAACCCAGAAAATATGTGAAAATATGGGGAATATGTTTATTTGTGTGTATTGATTTGTGTGTCCCAGGGCCCCTTCAAAGACGTTGAAAAATAAGACCGCCTCAGGCTCAGGATGTGGCCCTCGATGTCGGGCCGCTCCTCCGATCTGGGCTGGACGACCTCTTCGCGACTAGCACGATGGCTGTAGGTCAGGAGCGAAAGAAGGACGTACATGTACATGAATCCACGCTGGTTTCGAGAGCACGCATTGCACAAATGTTCGGTATAACGCGGCCGGTCTCGCGAATCGAGGGGCCGTGTTCATGTACATAGCTCATAGCTGGGCGCGTACGTCCTTTGTGGGCTCCCTACTGATGGTAGCACGATGGCTGTAGGAGCTTGCGTTTACCTTACTCAGAGCGTGAAATACCTACCCCGCTTTCGCTTCCAGGCAAAACCAGGTCATACCACGCGCCTCCTCGTCGAGCGGCCTGACCAGTACAGGCCGTAGTTTGGCATCGCTTGGTATCTCTTGGAAGCGAGGGTGGTCAAAAGCGAGGTAGGTCTGTTTGCCCTCTAGTTTACCTTCCGCCGCGTAAGCCTGCCACCTCCAAGCGATCCGCAGTGCTGGTGCCGCTGAGTGTGGTGCTGGCCAAGGTGGCCGTCGGGCGTACAGCCAGCAGGGACGGCAGCTGCGGTGCGGGTTGCGGACATGTTGGGCAAATCCTCAGCGTTTTAAGATACGCATTCGAAGGCAGGGGCATGGTGTAATTTTGCCAACCATCAGATGTCCCGCTTCTTTCCCAAGCTCGAGAGGTTGTGTGACATCACATGAGGCTGTCGCAATTGGCACTCGCCGTTGGCTTGGGTTGCGATCCTGCCGCAATTTGGCGACAGGTGTTCAACGGTATCCTCTCGCTGTGTGGCCTCCACCGAAGGTGGCTGAACTGCGGAGGTGGTCCCCGACGCATGCACTTCCCGACGCGCACGGACAACCATGACTGGTATGGGTGCCAGACGGCACAGTTAGAACACGTGTTGGTGGGCGCCGTACCCGGCCTCCCAGTTGTTTTTTCAGGCCCGCGTCTTGAGCAGTGAGAAATGGAGTCTCCCACGTGCGTCACCACGGGCCGCCGACGCTCTTATTCAGGACGATCGGTGTGCTTGTGCTCGTCTTCACGGCCTGCTTCTCCTCTTCCTCCTCCCTCCTCCCTCCTCTCTCCTCTCTCCTCCCTCCTCCCTCCTCCCTCCTCCTCCTCCTCCTCCTCCCCCTCCTGGGATTGCCGAGCATGCGCATAACGGTAAGAGTTGAGCGTCGCCACCAATAAGATAGATACACCTTCCATGCGGACGCGCCCGATGCTTGAGCACTCGTGTTGCCGAACTGTCATGGCGTTCAGTTCGTGGTGGACCAAATCAGAGTGGCATCGCATGGCATGTGTTGCTGGCCCGCTGCTCGCTGCAAGTCGGGCCACCGGGACAGATCGGCACACGCTGTGTGGCGGGGCGTCGAGCACCGAACGAAGGCTGTAACATGTGTCACCTTTCGTTTCTGTTCCTTCAGGGGTGTTCGTGTTCCTCCTCCTCCTCCTCCTCCACGGCTTAACGCTCGTTACCCAGACACACACCCCGGGTAACGCTAACGATCGTGCTGGGGGGGGGGGCCCGGGCCCGCCCCTACATGTTGGGAGCGGGCCCCCCGGAGGTATGGCGCTGTGCTCACAGGCATGGCGTGGACTGAACGGCACGCACTGGTGCTCACAAACGTGTTGTGGCGCTCGCAGGCTCCCAACCTGCTGCGGCCTCCGAGCTCACAGGCACGGCGTGGCGTTGAAAGTTGAACGGCATGTTTGGTTGCTCACATGCGCGTTGTGGCGCTTGCAGGCTAGTTATTGCGGTGCGCACAGGTCAGGCGGACTCACTGCCAAGGTGCTCCACTCGGAGGGCGGCGGGTCGGCTGGGCGGGAGGGCCGCCGTTGCCTCTGGGAGGTCGTCGCCGCCGCCCCACCTCCCACCTCCACCCGCCGCTAGTTCGCTCACAGTTTCCTTGGCGTCGCTCGGACGTGTGCATGTTTCCTTCGGCGAGGGCTATCGAGAAGCATTCCTGATCATTTGGCGAAAAAAAACCACGCACGACCCCCCCCCAAAAAGCACAGGGAATGGACGTCCGAGCGATGGCCAGTTTCACAGATGCAGAATGTGGAGGCTCCCTTCCCACTGGCCATGGCCTCGTGGCCGCGCCGCGTTGACGCGGCGGCGACGCCGGCGCTGGCGTCCAAGGCGGATCGCGACCCAGGGGGCCGTTTCGGGACCCGGGACCCGTCGTCGTCGTCGTCGTCGTCGTCGTCGTCGTCGTCGTCGTCGTCGTCCAATGCAGCTGGCGATGGCTCAGCTACCACAGGCTGGTTCGACCAGTTTTCCGTAAGTGCGAAATGCGGTCTCTTTCTTCCTTTTGGCCAGTGCCCGGTTGCGGGGCGATCCGGCCAAAGCGCCTAATAAAGACGCCCGCCTTCTCCAGAGTACCCTTGTGTGTCCTGCCTCTGCGGCCTGTCCTTTGCTGTTTTCATTGGCCAGCTTTTGCCAACAAGTCCCAACTTCGGTTTCCTCAGGGTTTTGCGTGCGTGCCACCCGTCCTGAATGCACGTCTTGATTGTAGACCCACCGCCATGGAGAAGATGAAGACCGGGCGGTCCGGCGCCTTCTCCCGCAGACGTTGTGGTGTGCGCACGCGCTGTGGCTCACGCAGGCAACGTGGTGCACACTGGCGCTGTGTTGCGCAGGGCTGCTGCGGTGTATACAGGCGTTGTGGTGTACTCAAGCGCTGTGGTGCACGCAGGCATTGTGTACACCGACGTTGTGTTGCACGCGGCTGCTGTGATGTACACAGGCGTTGTGGTGCACGCAGGCGTTGTGGTGCACGCGTGTCGAGTTCTCCCGGCGCTCCAAGTTGTTAGAAACGTGTACATAAAACAATTGTCTTCTGAGGAATCCAGAGGCGCTCCGCTTTCCATTGCGATTCCATTTAAACATATACATAAAAACGTGTGTTGTGGAATCCAGGGGCGCTCCATTTTTCATAGGGTTTTGTTTAAACATCCTATCGTGGACAATGCGTGTCTGTAGAATCCAGGGGCGCTTCACTTTCCACAGAGTTTTCTTTCAAACCCTTATATCAAATATTTGCTAGAGTGGAATATTGAGGTGATCCGTTTTCACGGTGTTGCGCGCACAGTTGCTGCAGTATGCACAGGCACCGCGGTGTGCATAGGCGACGTAGTGCTGCAGTGTACGCGGTTGTTGTGGTTTGGGGAGGCAGTTTGGTGCGTACGCCGATGGCGCTGCGTTGCACGCAGGCATTGTGCATTGGGCATTGTTACAGGAGCGCGGTGCACACAGGCGACTGATGCGCCGGTGGCGCGGACGCACCCTGGCTGGCGCACGCCACGGCCGCCGTTACCGTTACCCTCCCGCCCGACCCCCCTTTGGGTAATGGCCGTTACCCGGGAACTTAAACCGAAAACAGAACGGTCATTTTGGAGCTGTTCTGCGGGGCCTTTTGAGACCGTTTTGGGCCGTCTTGATGCTGTCAGGGGGGGTCTCGTGAGGCCCATCGCCGTCAGGGGGGTCTCGTGAGGCTGTCTTGGGCTCTCGGGGCCCCCTTCGGTCATCATGGGGCCCTCCTGGGCCGTACCAGCGCACTGCGTTCCAGTCGCCAGAGATTTTCGAAGAGGATCAGGAGGAGGAGGAGGAGGGGGAGGAGGAGGAGGAGGAGGCGATAGAAGAGGAGGGGGAGGAGGTCTGGCTAGTCCTGCCCCCTTCGGTGGGGGGGTGCAGTGTAATTGGGTTCGTGGGTTGCGCGGCGGGGGGGGGTTCTGGATTTGCCCGTCCTGTGACACCCCCGTTCTGGGGCTATCTGTCGTTTCCCTACGCCCCCCCTGTTGTCACCCTCTCCCGCCCTTGTCCGCACGACCTCTTCTTGTTTGGTCAAAAGATACAAAAGACCCCGTTCCTACTTCTTTATAAAGGGATTCGGGGGTGGACAGACCTCCTACCCTGACACGTCGATTAAGGAATTGGCCGTATTCGGTTCGCGAGAGGGCGTCGCGGCCGTCATTTTTGCGGGTCCAGGTCCGTCGGTTTCGGTCCCAGGTCGTTTTCACTAACGGGAGGTCTACTAAAGGGAGGTTTGTCCACCGCCGAGGGATCCCCCCTGTCGCACCCGCAGACGCGTCCGGAGGCGAGAGGGCGGGCTGGGCGTTTCGCTTGGGATCTGCGCGCCATATATCACCGCGAAGCTTGAGATTCGGAAAAAGTTTCAACGGTGAAAGGCGGGCCGTTCTCAAGATTGCGCTCTCGCTTTAGCGCCGCGTTCATTCGTTGTAAACGCCTGCAGCAGCTTCAAGTATGCAGTGCGGGCCGTTGTCTAACTCGAACTCTCGCCTTAGCGCCTCACACATTCGTCGTAAACGTTTGCAGCAGATTCAAGGATTCAGGGAGGCTCCTTTTCAGAATGTGGCTCCCGCCTCAGCGCCGCGTACATGCGCTTAAAACGTGTTCAATGTTTCACGGGTTCGAAGGGTTGAAGTCGAAGAAACTGCGTTTTGGCACGATGTATGTTCAGGACAACAGAACGTGGGCTCGCGGTTTCGAAAGTCTAGGAATGGTGTTCTGGCATGATTCAGGGTTGTCCGCGCACAACAGTCGCATTAATTCGCGGCGCTGAAGTCCCAAAAGGTAAGTTGGCCCGAGCTGCGAGTTTCAGAGCAATTGCGGAAATTTAAGGGTTCCCGAACCCGATCGAATTTCCAATGTGAAATTGTTGTTCCAGTTGTCTTGTCCTGGTCCTGACGAGGCATCTCCCCTATGAGGGACCCATGAAGACCTTGGAGGGACCTATGAAGACGGAAATTGGGGGGAGTGGGCGTGTTTTGCAGCATCGTTGACGCGCCCTCGATTTACACTGGTCCTCCCCCTCCACCTCCAGGACGGTCTGTTCGTTGCTCGATGCTGGGGCTGCGTGGGGCCCTCATGTCCGCCCATGCGTGAGTTCGGGGGGGGGGGGAGGCTCGTGCATACCGTCTCCGAGCACCCAGATAGGCTGTCGGGTCGGCTCTGGACGGTGCTGGCTGGCTCCTTGTCGTCCTGCCTCCTTCGGACTGGGCTGGGAAGTGGAGGGGAAGGCGAATATCAAGAAAAAATGTGAAAGGAGATGGGAAGTCCTGGGACATGTGTCGCTTTATTCAAAGTCCCTTGTTAATCGTCCCCCGGGTCCGGTTTTTTTAAGCGCCTTTTTTGTAACTGTGGGGGTCCGGTTTATTAGGGCGCTTTCTTTGGATTGGAGGTTAGGGGGTCCGGTTTATTGAGACGCCCTGTCGAAGAGGGGGGTCCGGAATAGGAGGTCGCATTTGGAGGGGGGTCCGGTTTTCTTGGGGTGGGGGGGGTCGATTAATATGGGATCTGGAGCATCTGTGTGTCCCCAGGCCCCTTCAAATCAAGCAGATGGGGAGTCCTGGGGCACGTGTCTCTTCCCCGAGCCCGCCCGAGGGCGCCGAACCAATTCCGTGCATGCGGCTGGGCTGCGAGCCGCGCGCCTGGCTCTCCCCCTCCCCGCTCCCTCCCCCCCGCCGCCTCCTGCCCGCCGCCTGCGCCGAGGCAGCGGCGGGGGCCTCCCCGTGGCGAAGGTGAGGAGGAGGAGGAGGAGGGAGGAGGAGGAGGAGGAGGAGGAGGAGGAGGAGGAGGGGGAGGGAGGAGGGAGGAGGAGGAGGAGGAGGAGGAGGAAAGAGGAGGAGGAGGAGGAGGAGGAGGAGGAGGAAGGAGGAGGAAGGAGGAGGGAGGAGGAGGAGAGGAGGAGGAGGAGGAGGAGGAGGAGGAGGAGGAGGAGGAGGAGGAGGAGGAGGGAGGAGGAGGGAGGAGGGAGGAGGGAGGAGGAGGGAGGAGGAGGAAGAGGAGGAGGAGGAGGAGGAGGAAGAAGAGGAGGAGGAAGAGGAGGAGGAGGAAGAGGAGGAGGAAGGAGGAGGAGGAGGAGGAGGGAGGAGGAGGAGGAGCAGGAGGAGGAGGAGGAGGGAGGAGGAGGGAGGAGGTGGCGGGGGGGAGGCGTCCCCCGGGCCCCTTCTAGTCAAGCAGCACGCCGGGCCTTCCCGGCCCTCGGTGGGTGCTCGGCCGGGGGCCGCCGCCGGGCACGCCCTCCGTGGGCGCCCGGTGTGCGGGCGGCTCTCGTGGTCGAGCGGGGCTGGGAGGCCAGGACCAGGGATGAAGGCGATCCAGAGCGCTCCTCCTCCTCCTCATCATCCTCCTCCTCCTCCTCCTCCTCCTCCTCCTGCTCCTCATCCTGCTCCTCCTCCTCCTCGTCTCCTCCTCCTCCCCTCCTCCCCCTCATCCTCCCCCTCCTCCTCCTCCTCCTCCTCTTCTCCTCCTGTTTTTCTCTTCCTGCTATTCCTCCTGCTCCTCCTCCTGCTCCTCCGCCCCCCTTCCTAGGTCCGTTCCAGAGCGTTCAGGAACGCTCTCGGAGCGTCCCAACGCCCTGAGAAGGCCGCGGCTCTCGAGACGTCTTCCAGAGCCGCCAGATCTCAGATATTGTCGATCCATCCCCGTCCAGATTGATACTCGTCCTGATTTCGCCATGCCTCCCCCTCCTCCTCGAGATCGTGTTTTTGTTACCCTCTTGGCCATAGCGCGCGTTACAGTCAACCATGATTGGACCATGATATAGTAAGGATGGGGCAACTTTCCAAGGCTACTCTTGCATCCTTGCCCCTTCGGTATTCGGCAACCATCGGCATTATGCTGCGCTCCGCACGGAAACGCCGACATGGCGTTCCAAGGCCCTTGCATCCTTACCGCGCATCCTTAATATCCTGGTCGAGTGTATGCCCGTTACCCTTCCCCCCTCCCCCCTCCCCCCCTAACGTAACGCTCCCCCCTCAGTGCGTCCCCAGCGCTGCCGCAGTGCGTCCGTGTCACCACAGGCTTGGGGGGGGGGGGGGGGGGGCGCTACGTTATGCCCCCTCCCGTCCCACCCCACCCCTCCCCCCCATAACACCTCTTACACCCGCGAATAGAACAATGCGCTCGGGAAGCCAGGGCGCCTGGGGGCCCAGACATCTGACGTCTTCGGTGTTTCAAGCCGGGCCTCCGGAAGTCCCGACCCTTCCCCCAGGGCTGGCTTGTCCTCCGATTGCACAGCGCGCGTCGGAGCGCGGCCCCCGCGGCCCGGGGCAGGAGCAGAAGCGCGGCCTGAAGGCGCGTGGGCGGGCGCGCGGCGCCGGGCCTGGGGAGCACCGCCCGCGGCACATATTTCGGAGGGCTTTCTCCGCGAGGAGGAGGAGGAGAAGGAGCACGGAGAGGAGGAAGAAGGGGTGAGATGAGCAAGCGGCTTGAATCCAGGTAGGAGGAAGAAGAGGAGAAGGAGGAGGAGCAGGAGGAGGAGGAGCAGGAGGAGGAGGAGGAGGAGGCTAGGCAGGCAGGGCGTAAATGGGGGTGGCTCATCTCGATGCCCTAGCTGATCAGTGCGAGCGTCGGGCGTCGTGCTGACAGCGTTCGGCGCTTGAGGAAGAGGAGGAGGAGGAGGACGACGACGACAAAGACAAAGACGACAACAGCGACGACGAGGGGAGGACGAGGAGGAGGAGGAGGAGGAGGAGGAGGCTCAGGAGGTACGGGGCTGAGGGGGTAGGAGGAGGGTGATAGGGGGGAGGAGGAGGAGGGAAGGAGAAGGTTAAGGGGGGAGGAGGAGGGTGAGGAGGAGGTGAGGGGAGGAGGAAGGTGAGGGGAGGATGAGGGTGGGGGGAGGAGCCAGAAACAGATGAGATGAATGAGGAGGAGGTGGAGGAGGAGGAGCAGCAGCAGCAGAAGGAGGAGGAGGAAGAGGAGAGAGGAGGGAGGAGGAGGAGGAGGGAGAGGAGGAGGAGGGGGGAGGAGGAGGAGGAGGAGGAGGAGGAGGAGGAGGAGGAGGAGAGAAGAGCAGGAGGAGGAGCAGGAGAGGAGGGGAGGAGGGGAGGATAAGAAGGAGGAATAAAAGAGGAGGAGAGAGGAGGAGGAGGAGGAGGAGGAGGAGGAGGAGGAGGAGGAGGAGGAGAACGACGACGACGACGACAAAGACGAAGAGGGCGGCGGCGGCGACGAAGAGGGGGGGGGGGGAGGGGGAGGAGGAGGGGAGGGAGGTACGAGGCTGAGGGCGAGGCTGCGGGGCGAGGGACGGGGGCCGAGGGCCGAGGAGGGGAAGGGGGGAGGAGGAGGGTGAGGAGGAGGAGGAGGAGGAGGAGGAGGAGGAGGAGGAGGAGGAGGCGAGGGGTGAGGGGAGGAGGAGGAGGAGGAAGAGGAGGAAGAGGAAGAGGGGGAGGTTGAGGAGGAGGAGGAAGAAATTAGCCTGGCGAAGGACCCAACCATATGCAGCTGCGAGTACCGCACGGATATGAGACGAAGGAGGGGGCACGCAAACTGGGCCCCTCTTCTCATAGGCACCGCGCCACTGCATGGACGAGGCGCAGGGCAACGCGGGCAGGAGGTGGCGGGCGGAGGAGGAGAGCTCACTGGGGCGAGCCAACACATCAGTATCATCATCGCATCATGAGACCTGTTACTGGGCACGCAGGAAGAGGTGACGGAGACACCGTGTAGATGTCGAAGGCAGGTCAGCAGCGGCAGAAACGAGACGGGGAAGCGCGCGGTCAAGAAGCGATGGGAAGCAGGAGGAGCGAGAGACGAGGGGAGACGTTTTTGCCTCCAGACCGACAGCGAGCCACGCAGAATGCAGCGCGCAGGCGGCGCCGCGCGAAAGTGCCTGGGAAGTCCTCGCCGACGCGGTCTGGTCATCCCGAGGGAATCCCATCGACGCGCGGGGGTTGTCCACTGCGACTCTGTGTCAACGGATAGCGCCCCCGTACTGCGTGGCGAGGCGTGCGAAAATGGCGCGATCTGGGTGAAATCCCCCGACAGGCGCCGGTCATCCTCTGGCGAGAAATCCCGACGACGAGCTGGGGTCATCCAAGCGTCAGCGACAACCAGCGCGCGCCGCTGGCTCGTGCGGGGCCGCTCCCCAGGTCAGGCCTCGCGGATGAACTCGCTGAAGCCCAGCTCTCTGGCGAGGGCCGTCGCCTCCCTCCTGCGCCGCTTCGCGCGCGCAGCAAACTGCTCCAGCTGCTTCCGCAAGCCCTCCGGCGGCCCTGCCAGGAAGAACTCGATGAGCGGCGCCCGCACGAGCAGGAGATCCTCGTGGCGTGTGGCGCGCGAGAGCAGCGCGTAGAGCTCCAGCCACCAGTCGTCGTCTTCCTTCTCGCCGTTCCCGACCTCGTGGCGGCCGCAGTCCAGGATCACGCCTGGGCGGCGCCGGTCGAGGGAGCGGCGCGCAAGACAGCCGACGGCCCAGGGCGAGAGTCCACGGGGCCGAGAAGGTCCGGCTGCGGACCGCTCGCGTTCGAAGGGTTCGGCCGTAGACTGCCCGGTGGCGCCGTTCCCCCGCCCCGCCGCCTTCCCGGGTGCGCCCCTGGCACGCCACCGTGGCGATGACCCTGCCGTGTGAAAACGGGAAGCCCGTCCGGGCGACCTTGGAGGTGCGGACGGTGAACGGCTCCGACGCGCGGGGCTCGATGAACACCAGCGGGCCCGTGAGGTCCCCCGTGGGGCTGTCGTCGTGGCGCTTCAGGTCGTCCACGAAGGGCGCGCCCGCGTACTTCTCCATGCGCACCCAGAACCCCTGGGGCGAGCGCGTGTGAGGGGTGTGCCAAAATGGGGTGGCGGCGGCATGCGAACGCAGCCACTTGGGCCTTAGACGGAGCTCCCAATGGGGCCACGAAGCGTGCGAGGGGCGTACCAAAATTGGGCGGCGGCGGCATGCGGACGCAGCCATTCGGGCCTTCGGTGGAGCTCCACATGGGGCCGCGAAACGTGTAAGGGGTGTGCCAAATATGGGGTGGCGGCGGCATGCGGACGCAACCACTTGGGACTTAGATGGAGCTCCCATATGGGGCCACGAAACGTGTGAGGGGTGTGCCAAAAATGGGGCGGCGGCGGCATGCGGACGCAGCCATTTTGGGCCTTAGATGGAGCTCCACATGGGGCCACGAAACGTGTGAGGGGTGTGCCAAAATTGGGCGGCGGCGGCATGCGGACGCAGCCATTTGGGCCTTCGGTGGAGCTCCCTATGGGGCCACGAAACGTGTGAGGGGTGTGCCAAAATTGGGCGGCGGCGGCATGCGGACGCAGCCATTTGGGCCGTCGGTGGAGCTCCCTATGGGGCCACGAAACGTGTGAGGGGTGTGCCAAAATTGGGCGGCGGTGGCATGCGGACGCAGCCATTTGGGCCTTCGGTGGAGCTCCCTATGGGGCCACGAAACGTGTGAGGGGTGCGACGATGATGATGATGATGATGATGATGATGGTGATGATGGTGATGATGATGACCGACAACCACGATGTGGATAATGATGATGACGATACTCATGATGATGAGCATGATGAGGATGGTGATGATGATGGGGGGGGGGGAGGGGGCAGCGGGAAGAGGAACGCGGGGCACCGTCTCTTCAAAACGAGGACCCAACACCACAGGATGATTGGGAAAAAAAACATGAAGAAGAACAGGGGGAGGAGGACGGGGAAGGGGAAGGGACGGGTGAGGGGTGAGGAGGAGGGTGAGGGGAGGAGGAGGGTAAGGGGGAAGGAGGAGGGTGAGGGGAGGAGGGGGAGGGGGAGAAATCAGGACAGATGAGATGCATGGGGAGGGGGAGGAGGAGGAGGAGGAGGAGGAGGAGGAGGAGGAGGAGGAGGAGGAGGAGGACGGATGAGCCGGTGGAGGAGGAGGAGGAGGAGGAGGAGGAGGAGGAGGAGGAGGAAGAGGAGGAGAGGAGGAGGAGGAAATTGGAAGATGAGGACGAGGAGGGCGACGAGGACGAACAAGGCCGCTCGCGGCAAATTCGTATCGCGTGCTCGGGGGGAGCGGCCTCGGCCAGCTGCTGGTCCCCGAGTGGATGATCGAGATCCACGCGCGGACCCTCACGGTCCACGTGCGGATCGTTAAGACCTGTTCCTGGATCCTCACCAGCGTTACGAACCGCATGTTAGACACCTGCCGGCAACAACTTCGAGAATCAGAGCGGAAGCCGTGCTCGGGCGCATGGGATGCCACGGCAGGCATGGATGTCTGCCAGAGCCCAGAGGCATCACGACGACCAAGTACGGCAGCAATTGCAAACCTGGATGCGGCAAGTACGACACCAAGCACGACACGAGAGCCGAGAGCACGCGCGGGAGACGAGGGAAGACGCGTTGTACGAGAGCACGCGCGGAAGAGCTGATAGACGAGAGCAGCAGGTGTAAAGATATCAGCATATTCAGTACATCGTATTGGAGGTCTCACTGCAGCAACTTACCACCAGTACACCGCCGTGCAGCTATAGACATTCACCCACAAGCACGACGCCTACGAGTACGGCGGCAATGGCAACCAGGAGTGCGACAGCTACGGCGCCGACGGATGACGAGCTGACCCTCGAGGGCCGCAAGCTGAGCTGCCAGAGCCACCTGCCTGGCTGCGAGGACCACGGATGGAGCTGCACTGACAACAGGCATAGTTCCGAGAACCACCCGCTGAGCCACCGGGGCCACCGGTAGAACTACGAGGACCACCCGCTGCGCTTCGAGAGCAAGCAGTTGAGGCACGAGGGCCCCCAGCAGCGACACGAGGGCTCCCAGCAGAACTGCCGCCGCCGCGAGAGCCACCAGCGGAGCTGCGAGGGCCTCGTGCCGAGCCACGAGGGCCACGAGCTGAGCCACGCGGACAACAGGCGGAGCTTCCAGGGCTTGGCATCGCTCGGATGTGTGCATCTTTCCTTCGGCGAGGACCATCGAGGAGCATCCTTGATCATTTCGCGGAAAAAAACCACGCACGAAACCGAGAAGAAAAAAACACAGGAAATGGACGTCCGAGCGATGGCCAGAGGGCCACCAGCCGAACCACGGAGGCCACCAGCAGATCTTCGAGGACCAGCAGGCCTTCGGGGACCACCAGCACAGCTATACGTCGAGCACAGCGAGCTACGAGGGCCGCCAGCGGGGCCGCGGGGGCCACCAGCAGAGCCACGGGGGCCACGAGCAAAACTCTGAGGAGGGCAGCGCGCGGAGCTACGAGGGCCACGCGCGGAGGTACGAGAGCCACCAGCAGGGCTCTTGGCATCGCTCGGACGTGTACATTTTTCATTCGGCGAGGACCATCGAGGAGCATCCTTGATCATTTCGCGGGAAAAACCACGCACGAAACCGAACAAAAAGCAGGAAATGAACGTCCGAGCGATGGCCAGGGCAAACAGAACCGCCAGCAGAACTTCGAGGGGCACCAGCGGAGCCGCGAGGCCCCCGAGCGCAGCGACGGGCGCCACGAGCAGAACTTCGGCGGGAACTCCCAGGGCAGCGACGGCGACCAGCAGAGCCTCGCGGACCAGCAGCGGAGCCCCCGGGGCCTCCAGCAGGAATGCGGGAGCCCCGAGCGGAGCCTCGAGGGCAGCGCGCGGAGCTGCGCCGGCCACGCGCGCAGCTGCCGGGGGCCACGAGCAGACCAACGAGGGCCGCCTGCGGAGCCACGAGGGCAGCCGGCGGACCGACGAGGGTGAAGGGGCCCAAGGATACAAATAAGTACACACAAATAAGAAGATTCCATATATTTTCACATATTTTCTTGGTTTTTGTCTTCCACACCACTTCCCATATTTTCCAATATTTTCCGGGGGATCGACGATTAATTGTGGGTGTGTGTTTTTTCCCCTCCTGAGGGCGCGCGGCGGACCTGCGAGGAGCGCCCACATCCCAGCAAACATCGCTACACGGGCCACCTCCGGATCTAGAAGGGCCAGGACCACCGTAGGAACACGAACGCGGCACTTCGGACGAGGCCAAGGACCTTGACCAGCTGGGCAACTTGCGCCGGGCTCTCGAAAGGGCCGAGGCCGTGGCCTCCTGGCTGCGGGCCAGTGCCGCGGTCAGAGGCCTGGAGTGGGTGCGTGCCGTGCGCCTGCAATGTGGTGGCCAAGCACGGGCGCCGCGACATCGTCCAGGTGCTCGTCGCCGATACCAATGGGCCCCGCATGCAGGATGAAGAGGCAGCCGCGATATCAAATGCCCTGACGGCAGGCGAGGAGAAGGTGGAGAAAGCCACGGAGAAGATGGAGAAGGACGAAGACGAGGAGAAGAAACAGGAGAAGGAGGAGGACGAGGACAGAGTGTGGTGGTGAACATTCGATAGAACTGGCCAGGAGTTTGGCCCATCTCTTGCATACGCCATGTGCGGAGGTAGTACCAGCAGGGCGTCTCCCCCTGGCGAGGAGCTCCACGTGAGGCCAGATACGCGGTCTCGATGCCCCGATCTCCGCGATTCGCTGCACAGATTCAGTTCGACCAGGGGCAGGTACAATTACCACCGCTAGTCCTGACTGTGCCACGCCACTAACCAATGTCATGAATTTGTGGGACCATTGGGTGTCACGCCAGCAGATAGGAGCGAACAGTCTTACAATGGTTGTGTTGCTGATGTTGCTGATGTTGTTATTGTTGTTGATGTTGTTGTTTCTGGTGTTGGTGGTGTTGTTGTTGGTGGTGATGTTGTTGTTGGTGGTGGTGCTGGTGTTGTGGTTGGTGTTGATGTTGTTGGTGTTGTTGTTGGTGTTGGTGTTGTTGCTGCTGGTGCTGTTGTTTATGGTGTTGTCGATGCTGTGGTGGTGGTGTTGTTACTGTTGGTGGTGGTGTCGTTGGTGTTGTTTATGTTGGTGTTGGTGTTGCTGTTGTTGTTGCTTGTGTTGCTGGTGTTATTGTTGTTGTTGTCTGTGCTGGTGTGTTTGGTGTTGTTGTTGATGTTGTTGTTGTGGCTGTGGTTGTTGTTCTTGTGTTTGGTGCTGTTGGTTGGTGACTGTTGTATGCTGGATGTTGGTTGTTGGGTGTTATTTGAGTGTGTGTGTGTGTGTGTTGTGAGCTGTGTGTTGATTGTTGTGTGTTGCTTGTTGTTTGTTGTGTGTTGTTGTTGCCCCGCTTGCGACCCAGCCCGCGACCCAACCGCGACCCACCCGCGACCCAGTTGCGACCCGCCCGCGACCCACCCGCGGCGACCCACCTGCGACACCCCCCGTGCCGCCAGGAGCAAGAGGTCACGATGCCGATGCGTTCCAAGACTGCCTCCTGCTCCGCACGGGCTCTCGGGAAGCGGGGGCCCGTCGGAGGTTGCGAAGGCCTCGCGGCTAGCGCCGCCGACCCGGAAGGGGGACGACGACGACGGCCTGCTGCTCCGCTGCGCTCCAGAAACCAAGGTCATCAGCTATTCCAGAACTCCTGGACCGTATCCTGAGCCAATCACTTTTTTTTGGATTCGCGGGTCGAGAGCGCACCTCTTCCAATCGAAGCTAAGCGGGCCGCGCGAAGCTTGAATTAACCAGAGATGGGGGAGGACAAGGGGGGCGCAGCCTCAGAACGAGGCTGGGAGGAGGCAAAGCCTCGGGATCAGGCATCCTGAGCCAATCACGTCATGACACCATTCCCGTTCCACGGGACGACCCAAGAATATGTCCTTCCCCTGTCGTCGTCACCGCCGCCTCTCATCGTCGTCGTCGCCCTCCGCCCTCGCCCCTCTCGGCCCAGGTCCGGCTGGACGAGGTGTCGCACCAGCTGGCGCAGGCGCAGATCGAGCAGCGGAGCCACCTGGAGCAGCGAGACGAGCAACGAAGGACCTCCTTGCCTTCCTGCAGAGCCCAGAGCTCTGGCGCTTCTCATCCTCCTTCTTCTCCTCATCCTCCTCCTCCTCCTCCTTCTCGTCCTCCTCCTCCTCCTCCGCTCCTCCGTTCCGTGTTGAGGAAGAGGCGGCTGAGGAGGATGAGGATCCTCTGGCCTCTGCGTCTCCCTCCTAACTCGTTTTGTTTTCGGCCCGTGGCCATTCGACCTCGACTCGTTCGTCAGGCGGCGTTCTATCCTATCCTATCCTATCCTATCCTATCCTATCCTATCCTATCCTATCCTCCTCCTCCTCCTTCTCATCCTCCTCCGCCTCCTCTTCTCCCCTGAGGCTGCCAGTTTCGAGCCGGAGGGATGAGTCGGGGACGCAGCCTATGTGATGGACGTGCCAGCTCCTTCTGCGGAGGGAAACCGCAGGGGGGAAACAAGTAGTGGCATTCAGCGATCGTCCCCTCCTTCGTCCCACCAAAAAAAACAAATACGCGCTGGAGCAACAAAAACAATTGGCATTGCGCCACTGTTATGTATGTCATGGTTCGTCGCGATCGTTGGCGTCTGGAGGCCGTGTCTGGGCCCTGGGGGCCTTGTCGGGATCCGGCCCAGAAGGACAAAACAATTCAAACATTGCCCCAGGGAAGGGATTGCTTTCTTTTTGGTTCCCCCCTCCTCCTCCTCCTCCTCCTCCTCGTCCTCTTCCTCCTCCTCCTCCTCCTCCTCGTCCTCTTCCTCCTCCTCGTCCTCCTCTTCCTCCTCCTCCTCCTCCTCCTCCTCCTTCCCCCTCGACCAGCTAGAGCTGCTCAGGACCGTGCCGTGGAAGCCGCACATTGGCATCCGCTTGAAGCTGAGAGGGCGGCCTCTAAAGCTCAAGGGCAGGGTACTTCGCAGGCCAGCAGCCATAAAGCCACCAGTCGCAGTTGAGAGAATGCCGAAGTCCAGAGCCGCTTGCAGGCGAGCGGCGCGAGGAGGCCAGGAGGCCATGCGCCGACGTCAGCAAGCGTTGGCAGAGGCAGGATGCGACCAGGAAGGAAACGACATGGAGCCAGTGCCGCAGCTGTACTACGACAAGGAGGTCCAGCACGTCATCCCTGACGAGCTGTGGCAGGCCACCTCCGAGAGGGTCAGCTTGCGTGTCTACGACGAGTTGCCCCAGCACTTGCAGCACACTGTCGTCGGCAAGATGATGGAGCGGGACATGCTGGATCTGGGGCAACAGTACGACCACTTCGCTAGCACACTCGAGCTCAGCCTGTGCGAGAGCATCGGCATCCCAGAGGAAGATCGAGGACGTCATCTCGGGCACAGCAGGCCCCCGAGCTACAAGAGCGTGAGCATCAAGGACACCGTCACCTCTACGCCATGGGCAGGGGTTGAAAGGAAGATCCATGCGTGGTGGGCGGAGATCTCCTCCTTGGTGCGGCAGCTCTCGCACCACGACGCCCGAGCGCAGGAGGCAGCGGCAAGTCGACAGGGCAAGACCCAAGCACGTCCCGATGAGGACTCGGGAGGAGGACAGGGCCCGTTGGAGCTGGAGCTTGGCCCCGTCATTTCGGGCAGCCAGGAAGGCCACGAAGAAGGCGACCCTGCACCAGCCTTGAGCCCATCGAAGAGCTCGGGAGGAAGCTCGGTGGAACGCTCCCCCACCGAGCGGGGCAAGGGCCCCCCCGAGCTGCAGCAGCGGAGCGCAGGCAGTGGAGGCGCAGCAGGAGGCGTCCCAGACCTCCACGTGGGGCATACCCACAGCACCGCAGACAGCTGCCCAGAAGGGATGCAGAGGGGTGCCCTTCCCCCACCAGCAGGGCGCAACACCATGGACATCCAAGATCACGACCCCTTCGAGGATGAGGAGGAGTACTTGGAGTACCGCCAGGAGATCGCAGACCAGGAAAACAGCGATGGGTACCACCAACACATCGAGGGGCAGCAGGCCAGCCTCGAGTCCAGCCAGACCGCTCGCCGTCGAGCAGCTGGACCTGATTCTCACCCACCAGCAGGACGCAGCACCATGGACGTCCAAGACCACGACCCCTTCGAGGAAGAGGAGGACCGCTTCCAGAACCGCCAGGAGACCGCAGACCAGGAGGACTGCGATGGGTACCACCAGCGTATCGAGGGGCAGCTGGATGGCAACGGCTACGGCCAGACCGCACGTCGTCAGGCAGCTGGATCTGGTGAAACCGCCCCAGGTGACACGCACTGCTCACCTCCTCAGCCAGCTGGCACTCTGGAGGCAGAGGGTACCGATCACCTGAGGAGTCAGAACCAAGCGCCGCCAAGCCCAGAGGCAGATGAGCAACGAGATATGGGCCTGCCCCCTACAGACCCCTGGAATGACGACCAACACCAGCGGGAGCGGGAAGACTACGTGGCCATGAGAGACGACCTGGAGTACTGGGCGGCCATCTGGATGGATAACTTGGTGCAGCTCCCCACGGACAACAGCAACTGGATGCAGATCTGCGTGCCGTTCCTGGAGACCATCCTGGGAGGCGGAGGCAACAATGGCATGGTGAGACTGCTCAGACGTTGGTACCAGCAGGCCGGCCTCAGCCACATCATCAGGGACCTCTGCGAGCGAGCATGGAGACATGCAGAACCACGACGCCGAGGCTTTCTCCAAGGACTTGCGCGAGAGGTGCCGACGAGGAGGCACGAATTGGAAATGATGCACTGGAGGGAGCTCGCAAACCTGCGGAGGTTCATGCGAGAAGTCATAGGCGAAAGAGCACCAGAAGGAGCAGCGCGAAGACAACTACATGACGCTCCAGGTACAGGCAGTGGCCAGAGTAGCCGCCGAGAGCAGCAGGTCCGCACCCACAGTGGCCGCCAGACGCATCAGCAGATCAACACAAGACAGCAGCTTGCGCAGCAGCTCAACCAGCCTGACCCAGGCAGGCTGAACGATGAAGGTGCAGCCAAGGACCAGCAGCAGGCCCTCCTCGCAGACCTGCGCGCCATAGCAGAGGGCGCCCTCGTGGACCCAGGGACGATCAGCAGGGTAGCAGAGGAGGTAAAGAGCATGGCCAAGCTACTCACAAAGGCGGTGAAGAAGGCGTACATCCACTGGGTGCATGACGCCACGGCTGGCAGTGCGAAGATGGCCCACGCCTACACCAAAGCAGCGGAGCGCAGCCATCTGGAGGACATCCTAGAGCACGAGGGCCAGGTCATCAACCACCCGCAGCAGCTGGTGGACTTGCGCAAAGAAGCATGGCAACGCAGGTGGACACGAGATGCGCAGAAGGCCGAGAGGATCCAAGAGGCGCTGGCCAAGCTGAGGCAGGCTGCCCTGGCCCAAGAGAATGCCCTCGAGCCCATCAGCAAGGACATCATAGGCTCCATCATCCAGCACCTGAAGAGCAATGCAGGCCAAGGAGCGGACTGGTGGAGGGCTCCAGAGCTCAAGGCCATGGGAGCCCAGGGGCTGGAAGATTTCGTGCAGTGCCTGACCAGCTGTGAGCAACGGGCAGCCTGGCCGTGGCAATTATACCTGGTGCTGGAGCTGCTGCTGGGTAAGAAGCCAGGAATCGGGGGAGAGCGCCCCATCGGCTTCATGCCCATGCCGTACCGCATCTGGAGCGCAGCCAGGAGGCCCATAGTAGCCACCTGGAGCAAGGCAGCGGCGGGCTTCTGGGATACGGCAGTAGCTGGCCCCTCAGCGCTACGAGTGGCAATGCACAGACTTACGAGGGCAGAAGCCGCCACGGAGATGGGCTTTCATGCAGCAGGAGTGTTCTACGACGCGGCAAACTTCTACGACAACATAGGCCTCGACCAGCTGATCGAGAAGGCCAGTGCCCTCCAGTACCCGTTGCTGTCGCTGGCAATGGCCGTGCAGATGTACCTTGCGCCCAGGGCCATCATGGCCCACAGCCTTTTCTCGGACATCTTTGAGCCTGCCAACAGCATGGTAGCAGGCTGTGGCCAAGCGGTAGACCTCACCAGACCGCTCTTGTATGGAATCCTGGATGCAGCGCACAGGCACCATATCTTCGTCGCCATGCAGCAGTACCTGGGCGACTTGGCCCTGCAGGTAGAGGGCGCGCGGCGGCAGGTCATTGACCAGATCAAGCACGTGGCGGCGCTGGTGCACGATGGTTTCAAGCAGCTCGCGATCCCCATCTCAGTCAAGACGGCAGTGGTGGCCTCGGACAAGGACCTCCAGGCAGAAGTCGCCAGCATCCTGGACAGCCTGGGCACCCCCAACAAGCAACCAGGGGTAGTGCGCGACCTCGGCGTGGACACCAGCCTTGGGAAGCAACTGCGGCGACCCACCCATGCCGCGCGCCAGGCCAAGGCCAAGCAGAGGGTGGCCAAGCTCAGGGACCTGGCGAAGACGGACGCCAGAGGCGCGGCAAAGGTCTATGCAGCAGGTGCCTACTGCCAGCAGGCTTGGGACTTACCAGCGCACGGCATCACGCCCACGGAGGCGAAGTTGGTCAGGGCAACGGAGGCAGCGCTCCTCACAGGCGGACACAAGGCTGGACGGTGCACGTCCACCATCCTCCTGATCCAGAGGGGCATGCAAGAGGCAGTCACCCGAGCCATCGGCGACCAGATCAAGCAGTTCTGGCTCACCGTAGTCGACCACCCGACTGAGCTCAAGAGGTACCAGAGGGGCCGGCTCTTGCTCTACGCCAAGTTGGGCGCCCTGGAACCCAACCGCAGGTGGCAGCAGGTCAAGGGGCCCATGGCAGGGGTCATTGTGCAGTTGCTTGGGTTGGGCTGGATACCGCGACGCCTGGACAGCTGGATCAGCCCAGCAGGTGACGAGTGGGCCTACAAGCCAGATGACATTCCCCACTTCGGCGCGCTCCTGCATGAGGTCCAGCAGAGCGCGCAGCAGCAGCTCTGGCAGCAGGCAGCTGGCCATCGCAGTGGAGAAGGACTTCAGGCTGGAGGCGACCTCTATCAGCTGCAGCGCCACCTGAGAAGAAGGAGGCGTAAAGGACAGCATGCAGAGGCAGCAATGCTGGAGACCATAGCGGTGGCAGGCATC